AAGCCCACAGAGAAGTCTAAACATAGCTAATCCCATAGGGACACAATGGAAAGTTCGGTTTTATGCTCCGGGAGTACTTTCTGGTCAGAACAGAGCAGTCCTCAGGCAGAACAATTTCTCTCTTCCCCTTCTGCCACAAAACAGATGTACCGCAGCACAGAAGGTGACCAGATTTAACATGGCAAAAGTTGCAGGAGCAACAATGTATGGCTGCCAGGGAAGCTGCTTGTTTGGCTTTGACTGGTGGATTGGTTAACTCGAAGGCCATGATAAGTGATGCTAAACAAAATTGTTTCAGTTAGGAGTCAAATCCCAGTCTGACCCCCTAGGAGCTACAGGCAGGGAGGAGGGGAAACCATAGTTTTGCTGGACACTCCTGCAAGCAAAGGGTGCTCGCTGGGCTGATCCTTTGCCAGTAGAGCAGCAGCAGGACATCTGGGGAGGGGACTCGCAGCTGGGAACACTGTGTTTATATTTTCTTTCGGCACATCACACAGAATAGATCAGTTTTTAAGGTGGAAAGCAGTCCAGAAGTGTGTTCCTGTGCATTAATGTGTTCCTGTTTGGGCAGCGAGTCAGTTCATACCTGCAGCTAAAGTGTGGCCCTCTGGCTGGATTTTTCCACACCACCTGAAGGAAGCAGGAGCACCAGACCCATTATTTTTAGCACTACACATCTTCTTAACTCACTATGGCAACTTCCAAAACTTTTACCTTAAAAGACCAAAAATACATGGTAGGTGTTACTGTTAGTAGGAATTTGTATTAGGGCAGTGTTTGTATAGCATTGGGCTTAAAGCAACACTGCCCGGCAGGCTGGAGATGGGACATAGGTGCTTTAGGTACCAGTCAGTGCCTTAGGTGGAAGGCTGTTTGCCAAACAGTGGGTTCATTATATCACCGGCAACCACCAGATTTCAGTCCCTTTCCTTTAGCTCTTGGAATTCTTCAAGGAGTAAAACTCAGCTTGAATGTATAAACCATGTCCTGCCCCTGACCTCTCATGCAGAAGAATGTTCCCCGCGGGTTCTGTCTCCACCTGCTTTGCCCAAAAGTGAAGGAAGCTCAGTGTGTCTCCTGCTGGAGTTGTCCTCCTAAAGTTCCTTCCAGCTCTCCACAGCCTGCTCCAGGACCTGCCCAGACCCTCTGCCCAGCAGCTAAGATGATGTCCTTGCTCATCTCCCACTTCCAGGTGGTTTCCCTGTGTCCAGCTATCCTATTGGGCAGTCATCTGCTACCCACAGGGAGGTGGCTTCACAGATTGGGATAGGCAGCTAACCTTCAACCTTCCTAAGGGTCCAGATCAACTTTTTTGAGTTATTTTATCCTGCCCTAAAATAAAGAAAAACAGAATTTCAGGCGGTCATGCTGTTGGTAGTAGGTTCTTAAGATATGCATTAAGCAGTCCGAGCCCAAATTTCTTACATCAAGCATCTTATTACTGCTTCTTAGGGGACACAGTGGTTTAGATGGCAGAGAAATGTCAAGATATGAATAATGCAGAATGTATTTTACCAGCTAAATTAGAGAAAAAGCAGTACAGCAATGAGTATATCTAGCTGCATTTATTTCTGCTGTGTCTGCTACTGGAGAATTTATGAGGTAGGACTTAAGTGACTCAGTTGATGAAGGGACAAATTTTTTTATGTCAGATGATTCCCAGGTGAATGGAACCCCAAATTAATAGTTTGTGTTTAATTACTCAGTTGCTATGTCTATTGATTGCAAAGACAGTATGTTTAAACAAAAGCCTACAGATTATTTACCTGTCCTAAAACAGCTAGAGAGCTTTTGATTTTGTTAGGTGAAGATGTTACCAGAAGAGTTCTCATTTAAAAGTCATGAGTCCTTAAATGTGCCCTACTTGTTTATTAATAGATATATTAATAAAAAAAATTTAAATGTAGATTAATCTTTAACACTCCGTTCTTCAGTGTTAGTCAGTTTACAGTTCCTCTATGGAAACAGGCCATCCATTTCTTCACCATTTAAGAGAAAAACTATTAATAAACCATAAATTACATCCACATTTTAGTATCTCAGTAAAATCAACATGAAATCCAACCTAATCCTGGCAGCAAGCCTGTGCGAATGCATCTTGTTGATGGAAACCTGGGGTTGGTCTTGGACTCTTCTCACAGAGCAGGTCTTGGGATGGCATTGTCTTTTTCCTACTGTAACTTTCTTATTTTTCCTTCTTATGATTTGCTCCTCTT